GGTCAGATTCAGCAGGGCTTCAGTGCGGCCGCACGGAGCCGGTGACAGCCGCTCCGCCCGGACGTGCGCCGGCCCCGTCCGTCGGTCCCATGTGTGGGTGCTCCGCCGGCCCCGTCCGTCGGTCCCGTGCGTCGGTGCTCCGCCGGTCCCGTGTGTGGGTGCTCCGCCGGCCCCGTCCGTCGGTCCCGTGTGTCGGTGCTCCGCTGTCCCCGTCCGTCTGTCCCATGTGTGGGTGCTCCGCCGGCCCCGTCCGTCGGTCCCGTTTGTCGGTGCTCCGCTGGCCCCGTCCGTCGGTCCCGTGCGTCGGTGCTCCGCTGGCCCCGTCCGTCGGTCCCGTGTGTCGGTGCTCCGCCGGTCCCGTCCGTCGGTCCCGTGTGTCGGTGCTCCGCCGGCCCCGTCCGTCGGTCCCATGTGTCGGTGCTCCGCCGGTCCCGTCCGTCGGTCCCGTGTGTCGGTGCTCCGCCGGCCCCGTCCGTCGGTTCCATGTGTGGGTGCTCCGCCGGCCCCGTCCGTCGGTCCAGTGCGTCGGTGCTCCGCTGGCCCCGTCCGTCGGTCCCGTGTGTCGGTGCTCCGCCGGCCCCGTCCGTCGGTCCCGTGTGTCGGTGTTCCGCCGGCCCCGTCCGTCGGCCCCATGTGTGGGTGCTCCGCCGGCCCCGTCTGTCGGTCCCGTGCGTCGGTGCTCCGCCGGTCCCGTGTGTGGGTGCTCCGCCGACCCCGTCCGTCGGTCCCGTGTGTCGGTACTCCGCCGGTCCCGTGTGTGGGTGCTCCGCCGGCCCCGTCCGTCGGTCCCGTGTGTCAGTGCTCCTCTGCGCACCGCTCTGACCCTTCTCTCGATCTCCGCCGCAGCCGAGCGAGGGCGAGGGCGACTCGGGCGAGGAGTCCGAGTACAGCGATGAGGACTCGGAGTCGGAGTACTCGGAGGACATGTCCGAGTCGGCTGGATCGGACGGTGAGCCTCTCGCGCCGTCCCGAGGCTTCGGCGAGCCGCGGCCTCGACCCGCCACAGGCACTGGACAGCCGACTCAGCGGGACAGGCCGTTCGGGCGCCACAGGCCTTATGCCGCCGGCACCTGGAGTAAACAACTGGTGTCAGTGTCATGTCATGACCACCGTGTGCCGGCTTTCTCACAAACGCACGTGCCCTGTGTGTTAAGATAGGACGTCTGTGAAGTAAGATTTGTGCGTGGGAAACGGGGTATGTTACGCTTCCTCCGACAGGCCGCCGCCTGATTGGTGCTATGGTCGTGGTGTGGCCACCATCCGTATCAGGAGAGAAGCTGTGCCAAATGAGTTAGAAGTGGGGCTGAAAACTAATCGGTGATACAACCTGTCCCCCCAAATGCACCAACGGACGAGCTTCCCCCTTGTTTTGGTCACTTTTCTCGGAAGTGGGGAAAGGGGGAGAGGGCCGGATCTCACCCAACTGAATAGGAAAGTACAGTCCTGGTCCGTGTTGTTACCAACCTGTCACGCGATGGCTGGATTTGGCGTGGCGCTGCGCGCTACGACTGTGACGGTACCCCCCCCCCCCGCCCCCGCAGCGGAGGGCTCGGAAGAAGAGTCTGGCAAGGACTGGTCCGAGCTGGAGGAGGAGGCACGCGAGGCTGACAAGGAACGCAGCGAGTTCCAGGACGAGTATACCTCCAAGAAGAAGGGGTACGGACTGTGGTACCCGCGGCCGGGACCTCCGCTCTTCTGGCGGAGGCCAGCTCACTGCGTCATGATTAACAGCAACAATGCTAACGGCGATAACAATGCTCATCAGTGCATCATACGATGTTGCGGGAGATATTCCCATCGTCACATAGATCATATGTGTTGAGATTAAAACTGGTATTTAAAGGACTTCCAAAAAGCCATGACTTGTGCATGTGTCCAAATATTGGATAACGCGCAGGAGCGGTAGTGCGGTAATCAATCTTGCCGTGCCTCACGAGTTTGTAGTCCGCTTGACTCCCTTGCACATTGCTTTTCAGTGTTTTTTTTTAGCGTTATTTTATATTAATTCTCTTAGCTCAGGAAATGACTCTTCATGGCTGGTATTCAGTAGCGGTAGTTGCATTCTGACTCCATACACACAACAAATGCGTCTCGATTTGCGTGTATTTTATGGAGAAGTCGTTAAAGATGTCTAGAGGTTGTCTGATGGTGTGCCAGGTCCCTGTGTCTGGCGGTCGGCGGCTGCGGCGGCCCTCTGAGCGAGCAGTGGGCCCTGCTGTCAGACGCCATGTTCTGCCGGCTGACTAGGTGGCTAGCGGCCGTGGTCACGCTTGCTTCTCTGTAGGGCCATGCCGAGTAAGGACCGAGGCCGGCACAGCCACCACTCGTCCAGCAAGCACAAGTCACCGAGCAAGCACAAGTCGCCCAGCAAGCACAAGTCGCCCAGCAAGTCCAAGTCGCCCAGCAAGTCGGGGAGCTCCAAACAGAAATCACCTTCCAAGAGGTATGCAAACGAAAAGGCCTTTGTCTCGCCCCGGACGTAAACGTTGGAATTAAGGCTCTCGGGAGTGCTTTGCGCTGTCCAGGATCAGCTGCTGGGCACGCGCTATCAGGCGTCTGCGTGTCTGCCTGCGGCCGGGGGGGGGGGGGGGGGGCTGTACGTGGGTCTGGGCCGCAGCCGCAGCTGACTCTGACCCGGCGCCGCTGCCGTTTCAGCTCAAGCAGCAAGCGGAGCCGTGACGACAGCGGAGACCGCCACAAGTCGAAGAAGGCCAGGTGAGGCGGCGGTCGGCCACCAGAATGACCTGGCCTTTCCGCCCCGGCGGGGACAGGACGGCACCTGGCGGCGGGGCCGGTCACTGGCAGACAGGGCCGGTCACTGGCAGACAGGGCCGGTCACTGGCAGACAGGGCCGGTCACTCCTGGCGAGACTAATGAACGACTGCAGCGGCCGTGGCATGGCTGACTCACGGAAACCGATACAGATTAGTATTCCGTGGAACTGCACGGATGTCTCGTATACAAGGAATGGACATTTTGTGCCCGAAAGCTGAGGCTACATCATTTTATGCCATAATTGTCAAACCTAGTGTGTTAGGGTGCACACATATCCATGCACATCTGGAGGTGCGCTGAGCATTGATCTGGCAGTTACCCTGATCTACACAAAGGTGATGTCTGGATGTTTTGTCCTTGCTATGCACTTTTGGCTACACAAAGGTGGTGTCTGGATGTTTTGTCTTTGCTATACACTTTTGGCTATGCACTGTATGTCTTGTGTGATGTCTGTGTGCTTCGCGCCTTGTGTCGGTGAAGACGGACACAACGACCAGCATGGGACGTCCGCTGGGTCACTGACCCCAGGTCCGGGTGCCGCCCCGCCCCGCCCCACCTTTGGAGTGTGCTCGGCTCCGACCGTCTGTCCCCGTAGTGGGGGAGGGGGAGGGGGGGGAGTGGGGGGCTGCTGTCGCGCCAGGACCTCGCCTCTAGAGCGGCGCCTCTCTGTTGCAGGCGATGAGCTGGCGCCGACCGCCGACAGACCGGCGGGCGGTGACGCCGGCCGCAGGACGACCCCAGACGTGGCTGCCCCGACAACGGACGCTGCCGGACGCCGCGCCGCGCCGTCAGGGACCGCCACCGACGGGGCGGGCGCCACCGTGCTGTTCGCCGACGCGGCGTCGACGCGGCCGCCCAGTGATTGTTATGTGTGCATGTATGGCGAGCGGCGCTGGGCGGCCGGCGCCGCCCGCGGACCAGTGTGCGCCGCCGCGCCCGCCGCCCGTACCTGACCGATCCGCCTCGGCGCGGCGGCGGCTGGGTCGGCGCGCGTCGCTCGTACCGCTGCCTCCGACACGGGCCGCGGCGCTGCACGGCCGCAACTCGCCCGGCCGCCGGACGGGATGTGCGGTCGCGAGACGGTGCTGGCCCCGTTCAAGGGGGCCGATGTGCCCGCCTCTCACTGATTCATCACCTTCGCCACCTTCATTTCAGCGGCAAATACACGCAGGACTACTTTGGTGCTGGTGTTTACTTTGGACAGCAGTGGAGAGAACAGGCATGGGGCATCGGTTGCCGGGAATTAGATGCTGGGAGCGTGATCAAATGATCTTGGCTCAGTATCCGTCGCGGAAAAATAACCAGCCTGTTGAAAGCAGCAGCTGATAAACACGTTAAAAAAACAGTAAAAAAGTAAATTACGAAGCATGAGAAGTCAAGGCGGTGAACTACAGTAACCTCGCCACACTGAGTTTCTTGCACGGCGCGTGACAGTATTACATGCTATTTGTAAGAGGACCACCAATAAATTACTTCAAGCATCTTTGGCCACTTTGAACCCTTCATAATAGCAGTTCCACAAAATCGGTTGGGGCATAGGGGAGCTGTACAGTACAAAAGTGACGCAACCTACCCTCGCGTACGTCGGCCTATTTTTTCATGCGGGAGGGAGCTGAAGCCCCATGTTAGATGGGAACTGCGCCCTTACCAACCGGTAGTTACTCTGCCCGCCATCCCTCAGTTACGCCTCCGTCCTCCACACGTGCTGTAACAGATGAACGGCATCAAAAACGAAAGATGAGCCCGGTCCCCTCTTAAATGCTATGGAGTTACACCATAATGCTGATAATTCGGCGAGTGCAAGCCTCTGTCCGGTGGCCGCGCGATCTCTTAACGGTGAAGGGGGCATAAAGGATATACACACCCCACAGTAGAAAGGGTATGACACAGGTGAAATAATGCATGACGGCGTCAGTAGATCACCGCTAGCGACAAGCAAGCCCTAACGTCAATGACCGGGTAATGCCGAACCGACCCCACAGGCGTTCCAACCCGCATTTTCCCACAGAAAGGAAATGGGAAAGTGCCGACATCCGCCGGCCTCCCTTGGCCCGCATTACCTCGTGTGAACTGGCGGTAGACTTTCAACTGACGCGCCACTATTCGCGGCAGACCAATCATGTAGCAGTAGAGGAACGTGGAGGAGAATTTCACGGTTAGGAATCCGGTAGACGCCTCGGGGTAGACAGCTGTTTGTATGGCGCGCAAGTTTGTTGTCTCGATGTGAATGTGTGGATGTGGCGGGAGACTTGAGCGGCATTACAGGCGCCGGCATTTTCCAAATTTGACTGCCAAGGCTACCGCAAACAATATTGTTGTTGACTCACTAGCTGTCCGGGTAATGTTGTAAGTGGCAGTTGTGGTCTCTCAGAAGTTCCGCGAATTGTTGCTAAGGTGAGGTCGCCATTTTCGCCACGCTTTTTGCTTTGCGCACACCCCAGTCCTGGATCGGGATCGGAACATTCCCAGCCTGCTTTGAGCACGGTTTGCCTGTCATTCCATGCATTAAAATAAATGATAATCTTAGCGAGTCTTCTGCAGCATTGATTGTGTCAAGGCTTATGCCCAATGGAAGTTCGTCAAGTTTTGGGCGAGGGCTTAGCTGTCTGAGATCTGTTTCACGATCTCCTGCTTCAGTGAGCCATATTTGACATATTGTTATTTTGGGGTGTTGGATGTAGGTTTTATCAGACTAAGACTTACATTTTGCAGCATTTAATGTGTAAGGTTTGCTGGACATTGAATGAACAAGATGGAAACCAAAATAAAGGGTGTTTTATTTGGTAAAACCAAGGATTGAAAATGTGATTATCTTTGGTTTGTTGTTTGCCACAAAAGTTAGATTGCTGTAAATTTGTGTATTGTAAATGTTTGCACATCTGAAATAATACTAACTTAGCTCACAACAAAATTTGTGCTCTGGATATTTCAAGGCTGAGGCATTTAGCTGCACCTGGTATGACAACTCTGCCACAAGCCATAATTAATGAATGTTACCATTCCACCTTACAAGTCATGACTGCCTGTCATCTGATAATTGTTTTCATATGTTTCAGGCTATTCTTCACTTCATTGGTGCAGAATCCATTTTCACCCATGCAGTCCACAGAATCCTCCAATGAATCGTAGGAAATCAAAGAAGTCCAAGTGGTCCAAAGAAGAGGTGAGCTTTACCATGCAAGCTGCAATTATGTTTTTCTATTGCCTCTAGAATTGCAGCATTGTATACAAATCCTTAAACACTGCACTGTAGTGTTTATTGTACTCAGGTCTGTAGCATTACCAAAATGCTGAAGACCTGAGTAGAGAGCCTCATTCCTCTAAGCATACTGCTCATGAACTTTGATACTCTCAACCATCTCTAGGAAAGGTCAGTTCAGATGCAGAAATGATGTGAATCATTTCAGGAAGATCAAAATTTGTGTTTTTTGTAAATGGGAATTTTAAAACATTTGTGTCAATTATAATGTTCAAAATGATAGTGCATCATTGCATTGGAATACAGTCTTTGAGTATCATGTATTGTGGTAGTGTGTGATGCATGTCGAGTGTTCACATCAAGGCTCATAGAAGAACATTATGTTTGATGCATGTTAATGTGCTGCTTTCTTTTTGAGCATCATGGTAAGGGCTGCTGCTCCTTATTCTATATGGTGTTCATGCTTCCTCTGATTATGTTAAAAAGTTGACTGTACTGAAAATCAAGGTTGGCTGTACTGAAATTCAAAGTTCCATTGAATGGGTGAAGTATGTATGAAAGAAAATACCAAATTGACAAAGTGGGCAAAAGGTTTGTGGCAATGGTTAATGCTCTTTTAGTTCACCAACAGCTTCTGTTGTATGCCCAGGCAAGTCATCACTCCTTTTAACTTGCTTTTAACTCACTAACAGTTTCTGTTGTATGCCCAAGCAAGTCATTACTCCTTTTAGCTCACAGACAGGTTCTGTTGTACACCCAAGCAAGCCATCACTCTTCTCATGTCTTTTAAACATGGGCCAGGGCATGCAAATTGTTATTGGCTTTGTTGACACCGCCATGTGGGATCCATATTAGGTTTCATTGGCAAAAATATATACACCTCCTATCTCAGTGCCATCAGGATCCAAGCTGGGTGGTTTGGTCATGTTGGATAAATATACTGGATTTTCTGATGCATGCATCTATGTGGAACTACACATATTGCTCATAAACATTATAATCAATTTGACACAAACACTAACCTATACATATATTATGCAGAGTTTATTCCCTTAAATCGTCCACAAGATTCCCAGTATGCAAACCATTGATGCAAGTCTTGGTTGCAGGAATGCACTGAAATTTTGCTGCCAGTTTCTTTGTTGTACTTTATGCTGTGTTTTTTAAATATGAAAGGGGTCGCGACGCACGTCGTCGCGCGCTGTTTTATGGAGTGCCAGTGCGTACAGAGGCCTCGTGAGGGCTCGGAGGCCATGGCGCAACCGGGACTCGAACCCGGGTCCCCACGTGGGAGGTTAAGACACCAGCCGCTCGGTGGCTACGCCACGTCGACGCTGTGGGCTTGTGTGTTGCGCGAACACTAACAATTCTTTCACGACAGTCTTTTGTATAGCATTGCACTTAGCAATCGTCAGGAGAAAATCAATTTTGACCATGGCACGACAGGGTTCTTGGGTTCAGATTCGAATACAATTTTGGGAGCCTGCGGTGGCATCGTGGGAACGTGGACGGGTGGCGGACCGGTGCCATCCGGGCCTCGCACTTATGTAACCTTTCACACGGGCCGACACGGGGCCTGCCGCTTTGGGGCAGACAGGAGGCGGACAATCCGCGGCGGGGAGAGAGAGGCGCGATCAAACCACTGTCGTGACCGCTGCCGCCGGTTATACACTCCACCCGACCATGATACCAATGAGGAGGGGGAGGGGAATGGAACATAAAAAAGGAGAGGAACGTGGTGCAAACCTCTCTGTGCGAACGTGCATGGTACGACTGTCACGTTACATGACGTGACGTGACGTGACGTGACGTGACGTGACCTGACCTGACGTGACCCGGCCGGGCCGCAGGACGAGCAGCTGAAACATGCCGTGGACGCGCACGGCGAGAAGTGGGACGTGATCCGCCAGCTCTTCTCCGGCAAGAACGAGTACGACATCCAGAGCAGGTGGAACCGCGTCGTCAACCCTGAGCTGGTCAAGGGACCCTGGACCAAGGAGGTCAGTGCCGCCTGCTGTGCGGGCGGCCGGTCAGATGCGGCTTGTTTGTTGTCAGTCGGCGCCTTCCCATCGAAGGTGACTGGGTGTCTGGTAGGTGGACGGAGCATAAGAGAGTGTGAATTATTGCAGTTACTGACTGGGTCACGGCGTATTCAGGCGCAATCTTCGAAGTGCATTTCATCACTAGTGACCACGTCTGTGAGTGACATTCTCCTTCTACGGAATCGTTCGGCTTACATTGCGTAAGCGTGACGTCTTGCGCAGGCCATGTCCTACCCAGTGATGCTCAAATGTAAAAAAAATGTTATGTTAAGTGTTGACCGCGCGGCGTCGGCCGCCGCGGAGCTGGTATGGCACGGCGGCAGTGGCCAGCGGCCCCTGCGGCGGCCCGCCGGCCTCGGTAGCTGTGTTACCCTCCACCGCTGAAGCCTCGGTAGGTGGGGCGGCCCCTTCGATAGCGGGCCGCAGAACGATCAATGCGCCGGCCTGAGCGGTGCGATCGAGGACGGCTGAGCGGCGGCCCAGCGGGGCGATAACGCGTTGGGTCCGGTCTGGCCCGCCCCTGACCGCTTTTGTAAATACGGACTCGGATTCGTGATCGGATGAAACGTGACCACGGTACAATGGAGACTCGGTGTGAAATTCACTGCGGCACGGGAAGGTTAATTCTTTGCCTTCTCGCAACTGCGAGAAGATGACGAAGTCGCCACAGCGGGTGTGTAATTCGCCGTATTCTGTAAGATTGGCATACTATCAATTTTGACATTCCGCCGGGAGCAACGCGCAGTTTTGCACCGTGGCTACTCAGACGTCTGCTGAAGGCTCTAGTCAGGGACCGTGAGCCGCACCGCGGGCGTCGGTCGGCCTATCCTGGCTGGGTTCGGCTGCTGACCGACCTGAGGGTCGGTCGGGCTGGCGGGCTCCGGGCTGCGGCCGTCACACGGTCGGCGGCGCAGGGTCACCAGGCGGCCCGGCCGGGCCGTCCATGCCGAGCCTTCCCGCGCGGCCGTTGGAAGCCCTCGATTCATTACGCCGCGACCACTCCTCGCCGTTCGAAACTCTCGAGCTGCGAGCTTCAAGGTCGGCCGGCCGGCGGTGTGCTCCTCCCACACGGGCCGCTCCGGGGGCGGACGAGCCCGCGACCCATCGCCGGGCCTCCCAACGGCCGCTGCGGTGCCGCTCCCAGCGCCGGCGCGCGCCGCCGCCCGATGACGGGATGGCTCGTGTGACACGCACGCCCCGGGGAGGCGCTTCTGATGCGCACCTTGGCCGCCCCGGGAGGCCGGGACCAGAGCTGGAAGTATGTTAGGCTGCGTCGCCGGCTGTTTGGTGCTCTCTGCTGCCTGGCAGCAGCGACCGACTGGCATTCGTCTGTTTGTTGTCCGTGGTTGCCTGTTACGGACTGCTGGGTCCAGCCGTGCCGTTGACACCCCTCGCGCGGGCGATGTCTGTCACCAGCGCAGCTACCCGGTACGGGCCCAGAACGGATGCGGTGCTCTGCGCTATGCAAATGTTCCTGTCTCATTAATGCTATCAGTTCCCAATCCAGCTGTGCCTGCGGCCATCGCGCGCCATTGACCTTTGGCGTGACGTGGCACCGGTGAGACGGTGGCGAGCGAACGTCTCATTTGTTCGACGATCGTGTATCGCAGTCATCCTGTCAAGCGAGCACGCAGCCGTGCTGCTCCGCCTCGCGAAGGTCATCCCGGTCAGGGTCAGGGGCCTGCAGCCGGCTCTGCGCACGCGCGGCAGACTCGACAGACTGGCGGGTGGCTGTCCCTGCCGGCCTGGCGTCAGGTGCTGCGTGCCCTGACCCAGTCAACCAAGCGCCGTGGCTGGTCCTGAAGGGTAGCTGCCGGTGGCGCCGGCAGAGGGCAAAGGATTACCCTTGCTGCGGGCGGCGGTTATCTCCGCGGGACTCCCACTGCTCAGCATTACTGACATTGTCAGCGAACGTTGCCGTGTCGGGCCGACTGGTCAGGCGGCCCGAGCCGGTGTCCTGTAGCCCAGGGGCGAGGCCGCCGCTCGCTGGGTCGGGCCGACTGGTCAGGCGGCCCGAGCCGGTGTCCTGTAGCCCGGGGGCGAGGCCGCCGCTCGCTGGGTCGTCCTGGTGGGCGAGATGTCTGCCAAGCCCGGCCACCAAACACAGACACGGCGCACTGATGTCTGAGGCCGGTATGAGCTGGGCCTGGCTGCTCCGTGACGCGTGGTTCTCAACTGAATCAGAATGAACCGACGGGAATCAGACCCCGGTGATTTTTAAGTACGTTGGAGCTGAAGGAAACCAGGCGTGTTTTGGTCAGAAAGTGTGCACGTTTTGGTGCTACGTGTGCTGTATTCGAGGTAGGAGGAATGCAGTCATGGTCTGACACTCACGAGCGCATGTCCCCCCCCCCCCCTCCAGTTTGAGGCCCTCGTAACTTCCGCGGAAAATGGCGCGCTGCCTGACCTACACTCGGCTGAATCACTCGGGACACCACATTACAAATCACGCGACGGAATTGAGTAATGATTGCCGTGACGAAATAATGGATTTGAAGTGAAGATAGATTATTGTATCTGTTCCTTCAGAACACATGCCGTGACATTAGTCACATGGTTGCTATCAGTGGATCTTACCAAACAGTGACTGGTAATGTTAACATTGAAGGCATGGTGATGTCACCGTCAGCGCGATATGGCTTACGATAGTGTGGGGGGGGGGGGGGGGGGTATACCGGTGATACCGAGGGAGGACATTAAACACCCCGTCACAAGGCCGTGATGGGGCTGGCTAGGGGCGCAGCCAGCGTCTCGGTGCGGGGGTGGCGCAGTGGTGAAAAAGTTCCCAGATGGTGAATGTCTCAGATAATAACAGAAAGAACAACAAAGATGATTGGATATTGCACACATGATTGTGAGGGGAGGGTGCCCGATTTTCAGTTTATCATTATTTTGAAGGAGAACAGAAAGCAGAATCCGGAGGATCGAATGGTTTTTGTATTGTTAAGTCATCAAACTGAAGAAGCCGGGAGTTAAATGGGTGCATGGACGATGATGCGCTTTATTTTCAATGTTTCGGTAGCCTGTTTCTAAACCGAAAGCTCTCGGGTGCTTCGCCAGGTATTTGGTGTTTTTCAGAGAAATCAGAAACGCGTTGGACGGTAAGTGATATGTCGAAATGGGGTAGCTTTTTTTTGTTCACATGACCAAGTTAGCTCGTCTAAAAATGTACAAAGTATTAAGATTCGAGCGGTGCAAAAATGTGCAATAACTTGGAGTAAGCGCGTTTGCGAGTCTAAAAAACAAAACCCCGTTGCCCGACGTTACAGTCTTTATAGGCCGCGCAGCGTGGGACCGGCGACGAACACTGGGCGATGGCCAACGGGCGACTAAGATGATGACGTCCGAGATAAGAACCTTTTATAGGCCGCGCAGCATGGGACCGGCGACGAACACTGGGCGATGGCCAACGGGCGACTAAGATGAATGACGTCCGAGATAAGAACCTTTTATAGGCCGCGCAGCATGGGACCGGCGACGAACACTGGGCGATGGCCAACGGGCGACTAAGATGATGACGTCCGAGATAAGAACCTTTTATAGGCCCGCGCAGCATGGGACCGGCGACGAACACTGGGCGATGGCCAACGGGCGACTAAGATGATGACGTCCGAGATCAGAACCTTTTATAGGCCGCGCAGCGTGGGACCCGCGACGAACACTGGGCGATGGCCAACGGGCGACTAAGATGACGTCCGAGATCAGAACCTTTTATAGGCCGCGCAGCGTGGGACCCGCGACGAACACTGGGCGATGGCCAACGGGCGACTAAATGATGACGTCCGAGATCAGAACCTTTCAACGCGTTAGCTCACCAATCCGTCGGCTTAGGAGGTAGTTTGGAAGGTAGACGGAAGTTAGAAGGATGGTAAAAGCAGGCGTGTATTTCACCTGCAGAATTTATAACCAGATTAGAGGAACAGATGGGCATTTAAAGCACTGCGAACTGGTGGTGAAACTAAAAAAATTAAAAACGCAATGTCAGATGTTCGTGTTACTCTATCTGTTAATCTGGTTATAGGATGTCCTCAAAATTAGAAGAGAAACCATATGTTTCCAATATTTGAACAATGCAACTTGAATTTGAAATGCTTGCGGAAGCCGTCCTCCACAACGATCATCTCCGCGCATCCGGCGCCTGGTGTTACCAGCAGCGACCAACACCGTTCGGTTTGGCCGAAGCTGCGACCTCGGCCAATAGGTTGTTGCTCTTAGGATTGCGCGCGCGCGACCTTCAAACCTTTCTTACATAAGTTGTTTCACTACTCGATGGTGGAAAGGGATGAACGTCCTCAGGCAAATAAAGGTTGGTCTTCTTTTGTGTCAACCCGATCTTGATCCACCCGATTAAACACTACGGGGTTCCATTGCCTTTCCCGATGAGCTGTCCCGTGGGTAGAACGCAAGGAGGAAGGTGGGCATGCTATCATTCCCGCTCGGGGTCTGGCGGCCCATCCTATTCCAGCACGGGGCGCCTACCCGTTGCTATTCTAGCGACACGAGGACCGGATCCCCTGGGCGATCCGAGGCCCTTAGAGGGATACATAATAATAGATGGGTCCCCTCCCTGCCGAGAGAAGCTCTTTGACACGGGCAGATGGCTCCTTCAAATCACACCCTCTGTCTTCGGTCCCTAGGGGCCCTTGGAGCTTCTCGGGAGCTATGGGTACGGGGGCGGGACACGTGCCCAAACTTGCCTGCGCGACTGGGGCTAACCACTGGCGACAGACTGGCGGTTGTATCAGTCACGTCTCCTGGCTATGCTGCGCGTCACGGTCGGAGGTCGTGTGCACTGCCCGAGCGGAGGCGGGCTCTGAGGTCGTGTATCGCCCGAGTAAAGCGGGGCTCTGAGGTCGTGTATCGCCCGAGTGAAGCGGAGCTATGAGGTCGTGTATCGCCCGAGTAAAGCGGGGCTCTGAGGTCGGGTATCGCCCGAGTAAAGCGGGGCTCTGAGGGTCGTGTATCGCCCGAGTGAAGCGGAGCTTTAAAACGTGTACCGCCCGAGCGGAGCGGGCCTCTTAGGCCGTGGTATCGCCCTAGCGGAGCGGGGCCTCTGAGGCCTGGTGTTATTGCCCGAGCGGAGCGGGCCTCTGAGGGGGCGCGGGTAATCGCCCCGAAAGCGGAGCGGGGCTTTAAAAACCGTGTATCGCCCCGAGGCGGAGCGGGGGTCTTGGCCGTGTATCCGCACCGAGCGGAGCGGGCCTCTGAGGGCCGCGTATCGCCCGAAGCGGGGCGGGGGTCTTTAAAACCGTGTATCGCCCGAGCGGGACGGGGGTCTTTGGCCGTGTATCGCCCGAGCGGAGCGGGCCTCTGAGGCCGTGTATCGCCCGAGCGGAGCGGGCCTCTGAGGCCGTGTAATCGCCCCGAGCGGAGCGGGCCTCTGAGGCCGTGTATCGCCCCGAGCGGAGCGGGCCTCTGAGGCCGTGTATCGCCCGAGCGGAGCCGGGCCTCTGAGGCCGTGTGTCACCCGAGCGGAGCGGGGCTATGAGGCCGCGTACCGCCCGAGCGGAGCGGGACTGGCAAGCTGCCAGGCAACAACAGAATTTCTGCACCGTAAGGCCGTCGAGCCGGCTGGTACTGCTATGGAGATAAGATCTGCAGTGGAGCGGCTCTCCGGCGGCTCGCTTGCCGCACGTCTGGCCTGGTGGCGGAACCTGACCGGCCCGGCCGATCGAGCCCGGCCCTGCCGGCTTCGGCTGTTCCCGGGCCGACCGCTGTACTCTGCTGTCCGGGGCGTACGCTTATCGGTGGAATGTCACGAAACGTGATGCGAACTGCATTGTGCTGTATGATCGTAACATTATTGATAAAGAACGCGAATTTGTGGCAAGTTTCGAACGGCTGTAGTTTCACTTTGCGGAAGTCGCGGCCGCTGGGGTTCGTTGCTACAGTTCTTCATTCAAAAGGGCAGATTGCCATGCGAAAGCTCGGTGCGCGCGCTGCTGCTCGCTGCCCGTGCCCGGGGTGTTTGTGATGCCTCCCTCGCAGCACTGGCTGGTCGTGCTGGCGTTGGGTCTGCTTGACTTGCGCCTGCCAGCCTTAACAGGCAATGTGGCGAATACGCCTGATGGGGCCGGGTGCCCGTCAGGTACGAGATTATACGAATGTTGCATGGCGAGCTGGCTTGGTGACGACCACGCCACGCTACGCCGGGCGGCGCCGGTGGCCGTTTGTGCCGCGTCACGGTCGTGACCGCGCGGCGCCTCTGGCACGCGGCGCGCGACGACTGGCCTTCGGAGCCGTCATCGCCGTCGAAGGGACGGGGCAGTGGCCGTGCCAGGGAACACCGCCGGGCTGCTGCGGGCGCTCGGACGCCATGTTGGCGCGAATGCGTATAGCGTGACTGGGCGGGAAGTTTTGAGCTGTTGATTAGAGGAGCCGGTTTGCAGAGATGGGTGTTCACGTCACCCTGTCCTTGTTTGGCGACTTTTCTTATCAGTGTGTTTTGCGAGCCTTCCTATCCGTCCTTGTTTTGACGACCTTTCTTACCCTTGCTTATGGCTTCCATTCTTGTCCGTCTTTGTTTTTGGCGACGTTTCATACAAACTTATGCTTATACTATCTTGTTACGATAGGATAGACCGATTGTTCACGGACGTTGTTAAAAAACCGTTCTGATGCTGTTCGCAGCTGTTGCTAAAATGGCATACCGATGTTTGTTTGTGGCTTGCTCACCCCTTTCTTGTCAAAGGCGGTTGGTAGGCGCCGCGGTCGCCAACAGAGACACACGTACACATGTCGCTTAACAGACGAAACGTGCGTTGGCAAATGGTCGGTTTTCCCCCTTTGGGAAGATGTCGCTCAAGGTCGGACGGAAAAGGGCATCTGAGGAAGATCAGCAACCGTATCTTACTTCGTGGGTCTGGCAGTGTGAAACAGCGCTGGAGAAGACGCACTGCTCAGTGTTAGGAATATACCGTGGGGCTCCGGTCGATGGAGAAGACGCACTGCTCGGTGTTAGGAATATACCGTGGGGCTCCGGTCGATGGAGAAGACGCACTGCTCGGTGTTCGGCATATACCGTGGGGCTCCGTTCGAGCCCTATTATTCACGTTGTCCTGGTAGCCATATAGGTGTTGTGCTTTATTTGCACAAAGTACGTGAGGCAACCACGTTTAATTATAACAGGTGTGCGTGCGTATACATAACAGGTATAACGGGTATGCGTGCGTTGGAGTGGATCGGTTGAGGACATGCGCGACGGTGTGTGTGTGTGTGTGTGTGTGTGTGTTGTGTGTGTGTGTGTGGTGTGTGTGTGTGTGTGTGTGTGTGTGTGTGTGTGTGTGTGTGTGGTGCGTGCGTGCGTGGTGCGTGCGTGCGTGCGTGCGTGCGTGCGTGCGTGCGTGCGTGCGTGCGTGCGTGCGTGCGTGCGTGCGTGGCGTGCGTGCGTGCGTGGCGTGCGTGCGTGCGTGCGTGCGTGCGTGCGTGCGTGCGTGCGTGCGTGCGTGCGGCGTGCGTGCGTGCGTGCGTGCGTGCGTGCGTGCGTGCGTGCGTGCGTGCGTGCGTGCGTGCGTGCGTGCGTGCGTGCGTGCGTTGCGTGCGTGCGTGCGTGCGTGCGTGCGTGCGTGCGTGCGTGCGTGCGTGCGTGCGTGCGTGCGTGCGTGTCTGTGTGTCTGTGTGTCTGTGTGTGCGGTGGTGCGTGGTGCCTGTGTCTGTGTCTGTGTCTGTGTCTGTGTCTGTGTCTGTGTCTGTGTCTGTGTCTGTGTCTGTGTCTGTGTCTGTGTCTGTGTGTGTGTGTGGGTGTGTGTGTGTGTGTGTGTGTGTGTGTGCGCGTGTGTGTGTGTGCGTTTGTTATGTATGTGTGTGTGTGTGTGTGTGTGTGTGTGTGTGTGGCGCGAGTGTGGTGGTGACGAGCACCGCGCGGACCCGGTAGGAGGACGACCGTGTGGTGGAGCTGGTGCACCAGTACGGCGCCAAGAAATGGTCGGTGATCGCGTCGCACCTGAAGGGTCGCATCGGTAAGCAGTGCCGCGAGCGCTGGCACAACCACCTGAACCCGGCCATCAAGAAGTCGTCGTGGACGCCGCAGGAGGACGACGATATCCTGCGTCTGCACCGCATCTACGGCAACCAGTGGGCCAAGATCGCCAAACACATCCCCGGCAGGTGGGCGGCGGCGGGCAGCGCACGGGGTGCCGGCCGGGGCGCGGCACGGGCCAGGAAAGGCGCCCCTGTGTTGTGTGCGGGGGGGGGGGGGGGGCGAAGCAGGGTGGCAGTCACCAGCCCGTCCGCAAGTGAACGTCACACCGCGGCGGAGATCGGGGGTCCGGCCGGCGCTCGGGGGCTCGCTGCTGACATCGTTATCATTTTTAGTATGGTCACGTTCATTTGGTGCAGGGGTTATCGAGAGGACCTTTGGATTGGTTCGTTGTACTGTCGGTTGTGTCATGTAGCAGACGAACCGCGTGGACACTGAACAGCGCAGCCTCTGCCGCGGTGACGGTTTCGGCATCTGACCCGGACCTCCCCAGGACCGTGGTGACCGTCCATGTATCTGACCTCCCCAGGACTGACAACGCCATCAAGAACCACTGGAACTCAACCGTCAAGAAGCGCTGGGAGGAGGGTGAGAAGCGGCGCTCGGGCGGCGCGGCGCCGCCTCGCGCTGGCGCCGAGCCGACGGCTCGGTACGAACCCCGCCAGCTGCCGCCGCCGCCGCCGCCGCCTCCGCCGCCCAGCTACCCGGAGTCGACGGTTGACACCGATTACTACTCGTCGCCATCGGTGGAGTACACCTCGCCGCCGGCCGCCGACTACCTGACGCCGCAGCACATGGAATACGCCAACGTGGCCGACGCTGACTTCCAGTATCAGACGGTACGAGTCCCGGGTCGCCACCGAGGGTCTGCGGCGGCGAATAGCGAGGGGCGTTGAGATTGTGACGTGTTTTTCTTTGTTGCTGCTCGGTTTTTGCGGGTGATACGTTGGTTTTATCCCATTTGTGCAAAAAATACTTGGGATCTGGTTTGTGCGTGGCTCAGTGTTTGGAGCCAGTTTTGTTTGCCTGCGGATGCCCCGTGGCTCTGGTCTTCTGATAATGCCCCCGTGCCTGGCGCATGCGGCCCGCGTGATGAGTTGGTGTTTGTTCGGACGTCGCTGACGCGGGCCCGACCGGCGGCAGACGGCTTGTGTGGGCTTCTCGGTGGCGGGTGCCGGCCCGTCGGCCCAGCAGCTGTGTGACCCGTTCGGCATCGACTCTCTGGTGTCGACGCTGGGCGGCGCCGGCGACGCGCTCAAGCCCAGCCCATGCCGCCGCCGCCGGCTGACCAGTACCAGGACGACTTCTCGGCCGAGCTGCCCGCCCGGCGCCATGGCCTATTCGCCCATCAGGTATCTGCGCGGTTGTGGTGCTTGTGGTCCATAACCGGCCTGGGGACGCCAGCCAGCGGCCCGGCCACGTGCATTCAATATTTGGCCAGGTCCGATCAGATGCAAACGGTTAACAATTTGTTGTTACGACCGCCATAGTCGTGATGGGACAATGATGAACCCGCAACTGACGTCTAGGCCATGGCCAGGGCTCAACTTTGTGGGCCATGGCAAGTTATGCCGCACTTTTTTGTGATTTGCTGAATTAGGAGACTCCCGTGAAGGACGCCACGTTTTGGGTGGCTAGTTTTCAGCAAACTTTAAAATTTGTGGACATGCACTTCTCCCTTGTGTGACCTCCATTTGACCCATTCACGTATAATGTGTACAGGTATGGTAGCAATATATATATATATATAATTTAAATTAAAACAATCCATGAGCATCTGTGCCTGGTGGAATGTGGCGCTGGCTTGTTTGCTGGGTATCCCACCAGGCCGATGTGCGACGCCGCGGACGCCGTGTGGGACTGTCATCCGTTCTGCTGCAGCTTCCCCGCCATCGGCGAGTACTCGGCGCTCGAGGTCGACCGCAAACCGGTGCTGGGCAGTGAGTTCACCGAGTACCGCCTGGAGACGCCCTACAGCGAGCTGTCGGCCGATCTGAGCGCGTCGGCCGCGCGGCTCTCGACGCCGCCCATCTTGCGCAAGCGGCGCCGCCAGACCAGCTGCGCGGGAGACGAGCTGTCCGGCACGCACACGGACCTCAGCAACACCAGCCCTGCTGCAGGGACGCCGCCGTGCCCGGTCACCGCCGCAGAAGATCACGCCGCTACCGTTCTCGCCGTCGCAGGTGCGCCCGCCGTGTCCGCGCGCGCGCGGCCGGGGCAGAAGACGCCTCGGCTTCCGGCTAGCGCTTCTCTAGTGTGTCATGGCGTGTCGGGTGAGTCGTGATGTAGTGAAGCGTGTTTTCGCACCAAAAGAGAGAGGATTCGGTTGCCCCTGTTATCAAGGTTCCACAGCCACGTTGCATACGTCGCAGGCAGACGACCTGTGTTTTTCATTGCAGTTCTTGAACGGCTCTCGAAACGCGTTCGATGATCTGGGCCTGACGGGCTCGCCGATGCGGGATCGGTCCGCTGGCACTGGAGGATGTCAAGTTCATGACGTCGACGCCCCAGCACGGCCGACTGACCAGGTACCACTCACCCACAGCAGGCTAGTTTTGAGCATTGTGTTACGATTAGTCATCGTGCGCCTGCGTTCATGACGCGGACTCTCCGCGACTTGTGTTTTTGAATTACGTTTCCGACACTTCTGCCGGTTTACAAAGCTGGGTGATGTGCTCACATGGCCCTCCCTCGGAAGGCTGGAGATGGGCCGGCGGACCCCCCGCCGACGACCACGCAGCTGAAGCCCAGAACGCCGGACACCCTGAAGAAGATGCTGAAGGACATGGAGATCAATAATGGACCAATTATATTTGTGGTCAGTGCATTTGTTCTAGGCCTGGCAAATGGTTTCATGTCGGGTTCCGGCGCTATTTGGTATATTTG